TATATATAAGTGAATCTATTATGCTACATGTATTGAATCCCAGTCAAATCTATATTAGCCAATCAGTAGGTGGAGTGCAATTTTTAAAGCCGTTATCTTTCTTAGAGGACTACTTAAAGACCATATCTAAGACATGTTCATGTTGATGCATGTATAAGAAGAAACTGATTTTAAGATCAAAGGGAATTGAAATATAAGATATTGCTTTGCTTAAAAGGGTTTTCATTAACTGATTCTTTAGTTAATGTTTAAGAACTGCCAATTTTGTTTGAACTACTTCTTTACTTTACTGCTTTAGTAAAAAGCTATTTTCAACTCTTCTTACATACAAATGAAGAAGAATAGGAAAGTAGGGAAAATATAAGCAAGGGACCAACAAATAGAATCGGTATGTATATTGTATATTTTTAAAATGGTTTTCGGCATCCATTCAGATTCTTCTTTAACATCATAATCAGCATTCTTAATTTGTGTTGCTGGGAGAAGTTTATAGCAGTCATTCTCATACTTATCTTTTTTTTGCACTCTCTGCTGCCCATTAATTTTTTGTAAAAGACTATTGAAAGTGATTTAGAACAAATTAATCCAACTTTGTTTACTACCACTTATGTTCTCATGAATCTTACCCTAAGTAAACAGAAGATATCAAAGAAGCACATTTAAAATCTCCATTCTGCCTATTTTGTTTAGTTAATCAGCTATTTTTACTTGACATGAATTTAACAAATTAACTAATTCATTTTTGGGGGGTTCTTTAGTCAAAAACTCAAAACTTAGTGTTCAACCCAGCTTTGCAAGAGAATAAAAATTGCATTTAATGCCTATTTCGTTTGAACAGTTTAGTCAATATACATAGCAGAATAGATTCACTCCTCATGGAAATGACAGAGTATGTTTTGTTTTTGTAGAAATGAACGTAGATTCTGTTTTCCTGCTTTTTATAAGTACATGTCTGAAGTTTATAAGGCTATATATAAGAACCTTTCTTAGGAACCCATAAGGCTATAAGAGCCTTTCTCAAGTTTATAAGAGTGTGTTATGGATACCAGATAATTAATGTATAAGTCATTCTCATGCTTTCTTTTTAACATTCTTAAACACATTTAAAGTGATCCTATATTACTTTAAATGTGCATAGTGAGCTATTTCTAAATTATAACTAAAGTGTACAAGTCTGTATGAGTATTACTATTTTTAATTAGCTGTGTAATAAATAGCACTCCGTATGAGACATGGAGAAGTCTACATATCCATCACTTTTCCATAAAAAAAATCAATGCATTTTCTTAGTTTCGCTCTTGAGCAGTTCGTTACTCTACCCAATAGTATAATGCCTTTTGTTTCTGTTTCTTTGACTTGTTTTTTTTTAGGAACGCTGATCACTCTACCTAAACGCAGCCATGAATTAGTCTTGGAATTAAAAAAAATGATAAGAAGGACATTTGAGTTGTTATCATTTATTTGTAACTCCATGTTGATTGTTTAGATTTCAAAAGAAATGCAGTTAAAAACAAAATATAGTCTGTAGACAATTTACTCTGTTTGACAATCTAAAAACAAAAAACATACTACGTGCTAAGTATGTTAAAAAGGATAAACACGCTGCTTTAGAAACCAAAAATTCTCTGCAATGATAAGGAAAATGAAACTACATATAGAACCAAAAATTTTATAACACGCTGGATTATCATTTAATCTCTGGAATTGTTTGGCATTTTGTGGTTGATGTGTTAAGTAGATGTGCAATAGTATGAGAATTGGAAGAAAGTAAACTTTTTGAGATATACGCATTCGCAGGTGATGCATAATAAAGAAAAAAAATTGAGAATGTTAACAGTTCTTTTAAAGTTTTAAGATACAGGAGAAATAGATAAATCCATTCCAGTGCCTTTATCATTTTGTCTTAATACTTTATTTGGTGTTGTTACTTAGAGGAGTAGTATATAATCCATCATGTTTAGTTGTGATGGTATAACTTGATTTTCCTCCTTTCTGAAATGCTTAGTGAAATGGGATACATGAAAAATAAAATCTCCAACTCTCCAAGAATGCTAGGATTTACATTTGTCTCTATAAATGTTAAGAACTTCAATTAAGAAAGTGAACTACGTAAAAATAAAAAAAATAAGGTTTATTTGCATATGTCAGTGTTACAAAACAATTAAATACAATAATTGAAACATGTAAATCCAATATTATTCCATTAAAGATTCGTTCTATCTTAATATTACAAGAAAAACAAAACATCAAGAAGATGAAAACTAGGGGAAAGGGCATATTCGTTCTATCTTAATATGGCTACCAGGCCATAATCTCCTTTTTATGTCTAATGCTTTTTTTCTAGCTCTTCTCTTTATATGAATTATGAATTTTTTCTTAACAATCCTTCCTAAAATATATGTGCAGATTTTTGTCTTTCTGTGCATCTTTTATGTATATGAATTTATAAAATATTAGTTTCCGGTCATTTAGAAGTACTTTTCCTTTTTCAATCTTTTGACTTCAATTAGTGTTCTATAAAAGATCTGTGCAATCTCATCCATATCATTTCATTTTAGTTTTTTAACTTCATTTTTGTTATCCCACTACAAAAAAACATCGAAATAGGCACGGACTTGGCACGGATTGGGCGACTTTGGCACGGACAGTAACTTATTTTTGGCACAGCGTCGTGCCAAATAGCTGGTGACAAAACGACTTTGGCACGGCATTTGGCACGGATTTGACACATCTGTGTCAAATCTGTGCCAAATACCCTATGAATTTTGGCAAATCCGTGCCAAAGCTCCGTGCCTAATCCGTGCCAAAATGGTTGTTTTTTTGTAGTGTCCTATTATTTTCATTGTATATGCAGTTTTTACAATGATCTCTGGGTATCTCAAGTCCTTATTGTAGAGTACCACCTGCCCACTTCTAAAGAATTGATCGGAAAGTTTATGGATTATGAGAATTGTTTAAGTTGAATAGGCGAGTATTGGTTTTTATGGGTATGTTTATTCTACGAGCATCACAATTCACAATGTCCATGATAACGAATGGATATTTTTTCTTCTCCACTACAGCTAGATCATTGTAGTTGATAGTAATAATGTTAATATCACCTTATCCTTGAATCTATTTATGAGGGTTTAATCTTTTTTTTTTGCAGGTTTTGTAATAAACAGTGGGATAAACTCATCTTTGTTTTTGTTTTTTTGAATTACTCATCTTTGATTTCTGCCACAAGTTTTATTAACTCTTATTTGCTTCACACCTTCGAGATGAAGGGCTGAAAGAAGACTTTTTTCACCGGTTCTCCATGAACAAGTATTTTAAGCTTTTATGAATAGATTTGTAAATATCTGGATCTTACTAATAAAGATCAATTTTAACATTTTATTAATAAAGATCTCCTTATATAATTTTCCGTTACTTTGAGTGGCACTTGGTTGATTTTATCATAGCTCAATTTTAACATTTTGTTATGTGCTCAATTTTAACATTTCAACATGCGCTCTTATCTCACGTTCTGTTTTGTTGGTTGTGATGTTTTTTGTTCTCTTTTTACTCGGAATGTTCAGTACATCTATATTCACAATGTAATTATAAGATGGAAGCTGAGTTTTTAATATGCTTATGGTCCATTGTGTTGTAAAGGGTCATACATTTTTTTATTTTTTAGGTCTAACTTTACTTTTTCTTATTATTACACAAGTCACGCATGAAATCAAAAATTACGTGTTTGATTAAAAAGTTAGTTGTTAAGCTTGACAAGTCGAAAAACAGAGTTACCAAATGAGTTCCAAATTTTATCATGGAATGTAGTATACTGTCATAGTTATACTTGATTTCAATATTTAGAAGAATTTTTTTTTTATAATAGTGTTATTGATGGTAGTCATAGTTCTATTTTATTCATTTTTTTAATGTTTGATTCATTTTTTTCTATTTGGCGTTCTAGGCTATTTGAAAATGAAAATCAGATTATTGAGACAGAGGAGTATTTATTTATACACTTGAAAAGTCAAAACAAAGTTCTATCTTACATAAATATGTGTGTATATAGGTCAATCCGGGAACTTCATTTTGGGACAGAGAAAGTATTTATTTATGTCATTATCCGTTTTTAGAGTTGAACTTTCTTCACTATTTAGTTTTGAATTTTATTGGCATAAAGTATTCGACGATGGATGATTTTCACCAAGAGCGCTTCATCGTATACATGATTTAATTTATATTTGAAAGACGAGTACTCTTTAAGTCAATTGTAATGAACCCATTTTAACATCTCTAAGTGGTGCTCTAAAGCTTATTCAATTTACTTGATTGAAAGTACTAGGTAATTTATCTTGAGAGTTCTATTTCATCTATATGTAACACCTTTTCTGATATTTTATAACCTCAAATGGAGTAATTTTCTTTGTGGTCAACTAATATTTTGGTGGACTTTCTTACCTATTATAGTTTTTGAACTGTTAAATGTCAACATCCTTAACAGGGACAAGTTTCAAACATGTGAGCTCCTACTTGAGAGTGTCGTAGTGATGTCATTGAACCACAAGGTGCTTGACGAAATTGAAGTACCGTTTTATGAGAAATTATTCCTATTTGTTTTCTTTTTAATTTATCAAACAGTCCTCCAAAGTAGGTTCTTCAACTTTTTGAATCTCTGTTTATTATCATTTGTTTGAGAAGGATAGTAATTTAATTGTCGTAATTAATTAAAATTTTAGTTCTTACTGAAACTTCATATATTTATAGTCATGTTCAGTGTGATCATCTCATATTTTTTGCTTTAAGCATTGAAAGACTTTGTTTTATACTCTAGCTGTATGTAAAACGACTAATTTACAATCATTTACTTAGTATAATTTACTAAAAGAACAGTTAACCCGTGCGGATGCACGGGTACCGCACTAGTTACGTGAAACTAAAAGAGAAGAAGATAATATGCCGAAGGATTTGTTTAAATTAAAAAAAAAATCTTTTTCGTTTAAATCTTTTCTGTTTATGCTTTTTCACACAAAGGCTGAAAAGAGAAGAAAGGCGCGATGAGCAGTCAAGGTGTGTGGGAGCATTTGCCTCTTTTGTTGAGAGCCAACTCCAAAGAATCGGTGGAATACATACTTCAAGCCCTGTGGAGGACTCGCAAGACAGGTCTCGACGCCGCAGACCGCCAAATTATCCGGGAAATGCTCGACCTCCCCACTGATTCCGACCTTGACCCTGTTCGTCTTTCCCTTCCCTTATTAGTTATCTTCCTTCTACTGTGTGCATATATGTATATGAATTTGTGCTTTTTTCCTTTTATTTTGTGGGGAGTTGGGTGGGGATGAGTATGAAAAGTGATTGACTTGTTGAGTGGGTAAAGGGTAAAGCTTTCTGATTAGTTGTTATAGATCAATGATCAAGTGCACGTAATAGTTTATTCTGATGAAGTGATGAACCTGTTTTTTGTTTTGGTTTCTAATTTTGAACTTTTATGAAATTCGACTGCTTACATTTCAGTTCTTTTGGGTATTTGTATAAAACGGACTACTTTAGCAAAAGTAGAGAGATCACATTTGTGCAAAAGGTGGTTGGAAATCTGGGGTAGAAAGGGATTTAGAAACCCTCTGTGATAGCCTCTCAAACATCATTTGAATTTATAAACTTTCATTCCTAAATGTAATGTCATATGTCAATGTTGAATATATAATTTTTCCAACGATGTAATAATGTAATGTAATACTAGGTATATTATTTTCTTATAAAGATTTTCTGGTTCCAACCAGTACCATACTGTAATGTACTACTTTTTTTTTTGGGGGGGGGGGGGGAGTAATGTACTACTTAATACTCCGTACATTAGTATTTGATAAAGGTTCAAGCTGTAAGGTGTAGAAATGGAACAGGGTCACTCGGGTCTTACAAGTAGTTAAATCAGGGTGGTGTACACCTTACACAATGGCCAACATATGCTTATTCCTCTTTATGAAAATTTTAACTTCTTTGAGCTCTTATTTGTGAGCATTGACAAATCTTTCTACATTGAACATTCTAGGATGTGAAATTTTCATTGTAGAACTGTATTCAAAACACAAAATTGGAAAAGAGAAATTTCCCCCCAAATGAAGGGTAGCAGGAGCAGGAATGCAAGTGTTGCTCTACCCAACAGAAATTTCATATCTTGATCCCCAAAATCATGTAGGGTGTAGCTTTACGCATTAAATAATGTTTTTATGTTTTAAGTTAAAGTTTTGCTTATATTTATACATTACCTCCTCCTCTAGAAGGTTTTCAATTTCACTGTTTATATGCCCAACATAATTCCTTTTTTATTATATGAGTTTGTTTATCATTTTTTCTTCATGTTTGAAATTGTGTTTATTCTTCAATAGAAATTTTACTGGGTTGCTAAGTATGTAATTTTCAACAGTTAATATTAATTTCAATATTCTTAGGGGAAAGTTAACTTCATCTTCATAGACCATAACTGGCAACCCAATTTAGGACGAAGGTGTTAAGAGTTTAGCTCGGGATAGGGGCTATATATGGTTTTGAAGCCATTAATATTGATTGACATTTACAGGTTTCAGCTTTGAGGTGCTTAAAGTTAAATAGAAGCACTATTTTTAGTTTTCAACAATGCTTTATGTACCCACTCTTATACCAACCATGTTTGTGAAGATTTTTTTTTGTCTGTGTGTGAATCCGATTCGCAAACAAAATATGTGTTATTTTGTTTGTGCAAATTTTGCACAAACAAAATATTGTCCGTGAACGGAAATCACAGACAAAAAAAGTCTTGCACAAACATGGTGGGTATAAGGGTGGGTACAAATAGCTTTTTTGTTTAGTTTTTCCTTTAAGCAAAAAACTAAGTGCAATTTCAAGCAATGGAAAATGCTGTTCAAGTGTTTTGCTGAGGGGATATGGAGTGTATATGATTTGGAAGCAGTTAATGTGAAATATTTAGTTAGTGAATGGGCTTAATCTCCCCTTCTGGCAAATGACCTGATAGATGTTTGGGGCTCTACAGCTTTTGGTGTGCCTGCGCATTTTGATGCGTAGATGTGTGTTTGCGGAGGTAGGGAAGGATGAAATTCAGAAGCTGTTTCCAGATGGGGTCCTGCCTGAGTTGCAGAGATTGCTTACACTTCTGTTCCAAAAATTTCAAAAGGAGTGGCGAGAAGATGCCGTAAATGATCGGGTTAGAATCCACAACTCATCGTTTAGCTTATCATTGAACTGCTGTCTGCTATCCTTCTGAATAGGTATGACAAAGATTATTTGACCTCTTTGTATGTAGCGGCAAGCTTGCCCCATTTAGAGATGATTACTTGGAGGAGGGGGGTGGGGGGCTGAAACTCAAGACCCTGTCGGTGTACTCCTCGCGGTCTAACTTTAATGAAACCTTGAGATGATGAGGAATAGATTGAAGACTGATAATACATCTCCCTTCATGATGGTGCACCTTCTATTTCATACCCCTCAATGAGTCAATGCCCACAGGGCCACAATGCATATGCAATGGACATCACTATTAAGAGACTTGTTTATGTTTTTGTGATTCAATATGTTCTTATGTAGAGCTTTAATTTATTTGGATGAACTTCATTCACACATGTTGGAGAATTTGCCATTGTTGCAGTAGGGATTTAAGAGTGTAAAAGAAAAAAACAACTCAAGTCTCTTTCAGCTTTTTATTTATTCATTATTAATTGAGGGTGGGGGTAGGTTGGAATTGGGAGTTGAGAGTCCAAATCAAACAAGGTCTCCCTATCTTGGATATTCTTCCAAATCTTGTATTTTAGCATTGCTATTTTAAAAAAACACAGTAGCATTATTTTTTTATAATATAGAAAATAAGGCTATGTTGGAGTGTTGCACTAGGAGTGGACCTGGTCTAGCGGTCCTGCCCGGTACGGAACTTTGTCCAGCACTGTTTGGGATCTGTTTTGGGTTCGGGGCCGCCCATAGTCTGCCCAAGCATGTTGCCCAAACATGTTACCCAGGGACGGATCCAGGATTTCGAGTCAAGGGAGGCGAAATTTTTTCATTAGTGTAGGGAGTGAAAAAAATTTCGCCGTTAAGCGGGATAGGAAAAAATTCGTTAGTGTAGCGGGGCAAAATTTTTTCGCTAGTGTGGGGCTCTGCGGGTAATTTTTATTCAAAGAGTTCCATGAGTACATACTAAATACACGATGACATATTAACATTTATATCTATTATTATATTCCAATTCTAATTTTAGACAATGAAAAGATAACTTTGATTTAATAACTATAAGTGCTCTAGAAAAACGTATTGATACATTAAAGTTTAACAAATGACAAATCAAAAGAAAATTATTTGAAAATAAGAAAGGATATATAACATTTTATGATATTATTTGAAGGTAATGAGGTTAAAATTAAAGGTACACATCAACCAATGTTTTTTAAATAACTTATGTCTTGTTTAACCACATGAACCTTAACAGAATAAAGAATTTGTTTTTGAATTGAGATTTTTGTCTACCAAGGAGAGTATTTGTGGGTCACGATGAGCTTTCTTAATATTACAATAGTATGTATGAGATTATTATACTTAGAATACTATAATACGTAGCAATGTTAATTCATATATATGGTGCATATCATATTTGTATTAATGCTAAAATAAGTTAAAGTATTATCTACTCAACAAATTGTTTTTAGAAAGTAAGAGGTAAAAGAAGAGTGTAATCTAATGTCAACAAACATTTATACTATTTAACTACTGTATCTCAAATTCAATATCGTTTGATATCTTACAAAATCGAGTACTAATTATCTCATAAAGATAATTAAACACTACAAAACTAAGAATTTTTAGGTATCCTAAGTCTTAAGTAATGAGTTCTATTGTTTATTTGTTTAAGTTATGTAAATTATTTTAGATTCTACTTCTTTTAAATCACCAATTAATTAATACATTATGTGAGCCTATATATTAATTTCGAAAACTAAAAGTTAAGGAGGGCGAAAACATATATAGTTAATTAAAGTATGAAAATCTTATGAAAATATTACATATATAGTAGAAAAAAATGGAAGTACAAGGGGGGCGGTCGCCCCCTAGATCCGTCCCTGATGTTACCTGGTCCCGGTTCACCTGATTTGGAACCGAAATGGGTGGGCATTTTTTTTGGCTTGGAAACGGGGGGATACGGAAAAATTAGAATGCGACTACGATCGGGATTGGTCCGCCCGGGTACTCGGAGCTGGCCCAGACCTGGATTTAACCAGGTCAGACCCGGGATTCTCCTACCAACGACCGGGACCGACTGGTCCGGGTCCGGGTCCACCCTATGTTGAACATGTAAATGATTATATTGAAATAAGTGCTTGGGAAAATTAGTTTTTAGTCTTTCTCAGAATGCACCAATGAAAATTAAAAAATATGGGAAAACTGTCAAATTGGTCCGCTTATTATCGTCAAAAAGTCAATTAGATTCACGTACTTTTTCGTGAATCAATCAAGTCCACCAAGTGTTAGAAAACAATCAATTTTGCTATTTAACCGCTTGAGTATGGAAACTGCTGGTCAATGCTGATACGGAAATTGTCCTGTTGAGGTTTATTCCTTCAACCCTTGGGCCCAACACGTAAGCCCAAAGATTTCGAGTGGAGTGAGTGTAAGAATGTCTAGCCCAACAACTATCAGATGGACCAGGAAAACAAAAGTAATAGCAGGCAATGTAAGTAGGTATTATTAACTTCGTAATAACTCCCCTAAATACAATCTACTTGCTAAAAAGGCACGTCGGCCGTTCGTCTTACGAGGCACTCAGAAATGCTGCAAGTAAGAATGCTGAAGTTAATCTGCTAAGAATAGAAAGTTGCCAACCCTTTACAATGAAATAAATGCTTCTATTTATACCCGCCAATGGGCAGGTGGCTGTAGTGATGTGGCAGCCTGTGGACCGCTGGTGTCCCAACTACCAAATCTTTAGCATTAAATGCACTTCCCGCCAGAATCTAGGTTTCCCGCCGGATCAGTGGGGACGTTCGTCCACCCAGGAAGTGAGTTGGATTGCTCCAAGTGACCCTCAGGTAATACCGGCTGTTCGTCTCCTGGCCTTGATAGATACTCACCATGTGGACTGGGTTTCCTCCAATGACTACAGGCTTGCTCTGGGGACGTTCGTCGCCATCCCTGGTGGCCCGTGGTTCTGCTCCTTGTCCCTGCATAGACGTTCGTCGGGATGAGCTGCTGGGCCTGAGCCCCCCAACACCAGACGTTCGTCCATCCTCAAGGAATATGGGCCTGTGGGCTGGCCTAGTGTTCTAACTGGACGTTCGTCTGGCAAAATGGGTTAGTGGGCCGGACCTCGGCTTGGGCCCTTAATCCAACACAAGTCCCCCACTTCTGATGTTCTGAGCATGCGCAGGACATAAGGAAGTATGAACCTCCCCGAAGCAGACGTCCGTATCTTGGTACTTGTGTTTATTGCACCTGGTGGAAGCGTACGTTCGTGGTCCTGGTGCTTGACAGCTGTTGACGGTTCAGGAAACGAGGTGACGGCTGATGTTGCGGCGGCGCATTTTCCCGAGGAAGTGTCATCATTACGTTCCCATCCCACGCACAGCGCGTGGGCCGGAATACGCTCCTTGCCACGTGTCAGTCCCTCGTTGGTTTCCCCATCGGTGTTTCTCCTATAAATGCTGGGTTTTCCCTCTGAATTAGGGTTCCCAATTTCTGCTCTCTTGCTCTCGATCTTCCGCAGCTCTTCAAGTCTCCTGAATTCGGCTAACCCTTTTGTAAGGTAATTTCCCCCCTTTGCTTCTTTTCTTTACTCTGATTTCTAGTCGGAATGACTTCGATGGAGATCTCCTCAAGTTCTGATTCCAGTTCGTCGGGTTCCTCCTCGGGCTCCTCTTCTGAAAATGCGAATGCACGCTCCCTGGGCAAAACTAGTGTCTCTGGAAACTCGGGTTCGGCCACGACGGTGGGAACCATCCGGGCTGATGGTGAGTCGGGTGGTGCTTCCCAAGGTAGTGGGAGCAGCGCCAGGGGTGGGGATGCCGATGAGGCAGTGGACGTTATTGATGCGGTCCCCCTGAATGAGCGTCCTGCTGATTATGATTCTGGAGAGGAAGCCGAATCCGGTTCTGATATGGAGGTGTACGATCTGGGCATCCCCACGGATATGGAGCGCCACATCTGCCCGATCAGGAGCGCCCTTGACCACGACCAAGTCCTCTCCCGCGTGGCCCTCAATAAAATCCGTACCTTCCTTCCTCCACCGTTCGTCTGGAGTGTGAGAGGCGCTGAGCATGTGATGAGGAGACGTCCGGGGATGATCATGCTTCACCTGGATTCCGTTGAAGCCGGGCTGCGGTTTCCACTTCATGCGTTCTATGTGGAGTTCTTCCACTGTTTCCAGGTGGCCCCGGCGCAATTCATGCCAAATTCTTATAGATTCATATCGGCCTTCTTGGTGCGCTGCAAACTTGCGGGGGTCGATGCCACTCTGGAGCTCTTCCACTATTTCTACCGCGTCACTCCCCAGAATGCCGACGGGTATCTGAGCGTGGCCGCACGTCCTGGGAGGCGGCTGTTCAAGAGCTACCCCTCGTCCATCCACGACTGGAAGAACCGCTTCTTCTTCCTTCGATACGACGGGCCTCCTCTCCCTCTCCGGTGGAATGGGTATCCCCCAAAGATTGAGTCACCGGAGCCGACCGACGATCTGCTTTTGGATGCGGAGAAGGTGTTGGAGGGTGGCGTCCGTCCCATAGCCGGGTATCTGACCTTCGAGGCACTCTCCGGGGCAGGCATAGGTACCGCCCGTGTCCCTGGACTTTTTCTACCCTTCGACGCTCGTCTCGGGGCACCGGGCGGTCCTGTCCTTCGGGGTGAGTGTCTTATTCTACCTCCCGCTCGTCTTCTAATCCTTGTTGTTTCTTGCAGGTTCTCCGCCAGATCGAGACCAGATGAATCACGCCGAGTGTTTGAAGACAAGGAAGGCCAAAGCGGCCGCTGCTAAAGCCGCACTGGCGAAAGCCAAGAATGCCCCCGCCCCGGAGTCCAACTCCTCGGCTTCTGACGCTGCCCGGCGAACCGCCGAGGGTGAGCAGCACCTGATTGCCACTATGCTGGCTCAGGGTTCCGGGGCCCCTGCTCTTGAAGCTGCCCTTCCACCGCCGGCCGTCCCGTCGAAGGCGGCTCCTCAAAAGGGGACGGAGAAGGTCCCCGAAAAGAAACAAAAGAGGGGCCGCGAGGCAGTCTCCACCGGGCCCCTGCTTGAAGATGCCGGCTCCTTGCCATTGAGCCGCCCGGCGGAAGAGCTTTGGAGGGAGATGGCCCTCAAGGCTGGCCTAGAGCTGCCCAGCCGTTCGTCTTCTGAGGCGACCAGCGCTGCCCTGGCAGCCGCTCTTCAGGTAATTCCCCCTTGCTAGATCTGAGTACGTTTTTCTTTGACGTTCATCCTCTGATCCTTATTTTTCTTCTGTCATCCAGTCTGGGCTCCTTGTCCTTCAAGCTGAAGCTGCCCGGGAGGCCGATCTCAAGGAGGCCAAGGCTAAGGCCGATGCGGCCATTGCTGCGGCTCGGGAGGCAGCCCGTCGAGCCGAGGCGGAGGCTGCGGCCAAGGGGAGGGAGATTGCAGCCCTGCAGGCTGAATCCCGCAGCCAGTTGGCCGGCCTTGAAAGAGCCGGTTTCAGGCTTGTTCCGGTGCTCCCTGCCGCCCAGGACGCCACTCCGGAGTGGTTAGTCGATACCTCCGGTTATAGGAACACCGGGGAGTTCATGGATTCCGCCAAGGATTATTGCGCCGGAGCCTTCGGTGATGTGTTCTCTGCGGCGCTGGAGAAGATCCCACCCCGGCAGCGTCTGGCGAGCGGGGTCCGGATTCTGGAGAGCTCCCCCTTGTCCCACAAGTTCCTCTACGAGGTCGGCGACAGCTCCTTCGCCGCTGGTTATAATGAGGGGGTCAAGGCCACCCTCCCCATCTTCTCAAGGCTGCAGGGGGCCGACTTCGAGCTTGCTGCAAATACGGACGACGATCTGCTGCTCCAAGCCTTGGGGAAGTTGGGGAGAGACCAACGGCGGGAGGAAGCCAAGGCTAGAGGGGAAATTCCGGAACCCCCGTCCCCCGAGCCCGAGGAAGAGGAGGAGAAGCTGAACCAGGGTGGCAGCCGACCGGGATCCCCCTTCTTTGTGTAATGTAATTTGTATTTTTCCATTCTAACTTTTGTAATGTCCGGCCGTTACAGCCGAAGAATATACATCCTTTCGCCCATAATTGTTCCATGTTCGTGATCTCTACTTGTTACTTTTCTTCCCTTCGTCCTTTGTTGTATGGAAACTCCCTTTGTATTTCGATATTCTCTGTCGCATAGTCTGCGTGGACGTTCGTCTCTGTTCCCCATTTGGTCCGGGGGTAGGGGCGTCTCTTTGCCAAAACCGTGTACACATTTAGTGTGCGGCGCCAGTGTTAAGGTCCGCCTTTGGTTGGTGACCCCCGGCACCGATACTGGCTGTCCCTCCTGCAACAGCATTCCGATGGCAAGACGACGTTCGTTAGGAGTTGGCCAAACAGCATGCCTCGCAAGTGTGGTCATACGCACATCGGAGATTGCCTCAATGCTTGCCAACGACGTTCCTCTATCGTCGCGTGGCATGAACGCTAAAGCTTCGCGCAAGGATGTCCGTCCGTCCTGCGTGTTCATCTGGCATGAAGTGGAAAGGCGACGTTCATCCTCCGTGCACCACTAATGGACGTGATTTTTACTTCATCCTTTTTGAGTCCATCGTTTGTAGTATGAGGAATCCTTCCGGCGCCTCGACACATCTTTACCGCTCACGTGGTATCTTGACAATGGGAAGACGTTCGTCGGTAGTTGCCTTGTTAGTACGCGTCTCGAGTATGGACATATGGGCGTACTTCCCTGAAACAGCGCTCGGTGACGACGTTCGTCTACAGTTGCGTGACGTGAAAACTGGAGTACTGTAAGACGGACGTAGCCAGTTGATGCGTGTGCCCTCATCAGCCGCCGACGCTAGGGTCAGCCGGGGAATTAAGGAAGCAAGGGAAGGCGAATGTCTTTAAATTCCTCCGAGCCGGTGAGCCCTCCTCAAGGGACGTTCGTGGCACGGTCCCGGATGTCTTTGTGGTGGTTACGCGGCGACAAAATCGAGACGCCTTAAATACCGTGGTAGGTACCGGTACTTAAGCGCCACGTGTCCTGCCTCGGTTGGGGCGATCCCGCGGTGTTGCCTATAAATACCAGGGTCCAAGTGATCCACTCACATTTTTCCTTACGCTGCACAATTGCCTTCTCTCTCTAGACTTCTCTCTAACCATATCGGAGATCTCGAACCCCAAAGGTACTGTTCGTTGTCATGTCTTCCGAAAGTCGCTTTGATGATGGATGTTCTTCCGGTGATGATCTGGAGTTTTATGAGCGGGGAATGCCACCCCGGCCTCCCCGTTATAGCCTTAACTTCTCATGCGTCCGGCGTCAAGTTCAGCGCCTGACGAACGCTGACAAGCGACTGATCAGCCAATGGTTTTATCCCCCAAGGACCTACGACGATCGGCGTCTTCGGAGCCCCATGCGCCATCTGCCCGGCTATGTGGTGGTCCACCTAGATTCGGTGATAGCCGGGCTGAACTTCCCCCTGCACAGCTTCCACTTGGAACTTTTAAGGGCCCTTGAGATTGTGCCTGCGCAGCTCGTCCCTGCCGCTTATCGGATAATCGCTGGCTTCATCATTAGATGCCACAGCGTCGGTGTGACACCCACCGTGGACCTGTTACACCATTTCTTCCGTCTGTCCACCTTCGGACGCACAGGGTATTTGACCCTAATCGCCCGTCCGTCCATGGTTCTGTTCTCGAACAACGCTGGGAATCCAGACGGTTGGGAAGAACGCTTCTTCCTGGCCGGAGTAGGCTCACCGATGCCATTCTCTGATCGGTGGAATGCCTACCCCGTGAAGACGATCCCGCCACCCATGACGGACGAGGAGCTTGGATATGCCAAGCGCATAGCCGGACTTGGCATCCAGAACCTCCGGTTGCTGGTGGCCGAGCCCTTTAAAGCTCAGGCCGGATTAGGTGCGTCCGTTTGTACTTGTATTGTTTTAACCTCTCTTCGCTGTTATGGTTCTGAACGTCTTGATTCCCTTTGTGCAGGAGTTTTTCCATCCACGTCCATCATGCGCCGAGACAATACCGCTCCGTCTGCCGCCGGTCGTGGACACAAGGGGCACGACAAGCCCGGGAAGCCGCTCGTCCCCAAGGTCGAACCTCGGGTGACCAGGGCACGAGCTGATGACGCTTCGGGGGCCGGCGCCTCCAAGAGGCCACGTGTTGAGGGCACCTCCTCCAAGGCCATCATCGTGGCCGATGACTCCGATGGGGAGCCTGGAAGTCCCCTCAAGCGGAAGCGCACTTCGCGGACCAATCTCCGTGCTTCTCCCCCGCAGAATTCCGACGTCCGCCGTCTCCGGGACGATGCTGCCCAAGCTGCCAAGGGTTCTGACGACGCTCGTCCAAGCTCGCCTCCCGAAGCCAGTGGGTCTTCTCTTGGATTGATTGAGTTCTCCGGGGTTGGTCCCCGCAAAGAGTCAATGATGCTCTTTGGCCAGACAGCGTCCTCCATCTGGTGTGGGCTGAATCTCAAGGTTCCGCAGGACTTCGCTGCTCAGGAGGCCCCTGAAGATCTCTTAGAGTGCGGCCAGAGCACGCTGGATAAGGCCGGGCTCTACTTCCATAGGGCTCGGATGGCCTTCGAGCGCCAGGGCAGGGAGATGGCTAGAGTACGGGCTGAATGTGATGCCCTTCTGAGGAATGCAAAAGGCAGGGCCGGCACCCTTCAAGAGAAAGCCGAGGCCTATGATAAGCTCGTTCAGGAGAATGCCTCTCAGAAGGAGCTTCTCAAGAAGCAGGAGGCCGAACTCGTGGATCTCCGCAGCCGGATGTGGGCCGTAGAGCAGGCCAAGGTGGAGCTTCGCCGGACGGGCATGGACAACCATGTCCCTATTTATGAGGCCGATGTTGCCAAAATCAAGGAGTCTGGTTCCATTGCCTTCCAGAAATCCAAAGCTTACACTGGTGCCATTCACACCATGGCCATGAAGTTCCTCCCGAGGCTCGTCGGAGAATTTCTAGCCACCTGTCCGGATGCCTATCTGGATGGGGTCAAATTGCTCCAGGCCACCCCCACCGGACGGCGTTTCCTTGATGATCTTGCCGATGATACTTATCGCAAGGGCATGGTTGGGCTCGTAGCGGAGAATCTCCCCACGTTCGAGCGTCATTTCGGGGCTCCTTTCGATCCGGAGGCGGCTGGTTTTGATGTTCTGATGGCGGACGCTCATGCGGGGGCCCTCGAGCTGCTGAAGGAGCAGGCAGAAGCCAAAGCTAGTGAAGAATGCAAGCAGGCTCTTTCCAAAGTTCCAGCTCCGGACGTCGATCGAAAGTGACTCTCTGTTCATGACCTTGTACTTGTACAATTTTTCCCATTATTTTCATTGTCTTGTAATTTCCCGGCCAATAGTGCCGAAGAATAAAAAAGAATCATTCTTTGCTCCTTGCTCTTCTGGCATTTTTTTTTTTCTTTTTGGAGTCTTTTAGTCTTCGTTCGTCCTTGGTCCCTGGTCCCACCGGCGTCCCTACTTCGAGGAGACGTTCGGTGTCCGCCGACATCGCAAGGATGAACAGGTTATCTACATCGAGATCCCCCTCTTTTTTCGTTCGTCCGTGGTCCTTTAGCCTTACCGACGTCTCTTGCTTTGGAGGAGACGTTCGGTACCCAAGGACTCGCAGGGACGAACAGGTCTACCCTCACGGGTCCCCGACTTTGTTACCCCACGTCCATCGATCCATGGTCGTTTGTGGGATAAACAGGTTTATCTTGGCGGGCTCCCTTGGTTCGTCTAGCCCCCTCCGCGTCTCTACTAACCTCTACACCGAGAGGCGTTCGTCTTCGGCGGTTGGAGAAGATCTGGCACACCCGGGCAAGATTCCCTTCTTCATAGGAGCTCCTCTCCTCTTCTCCCCAACTTTTCTTTTTTTTTTTTTTTTTTTTTTTGGTGGAGGCAATCCATACTCTTCGTTCGTCATTGGTCCCTGGTCCTACCGGCGTTCCTACTTCGAGGAGACGTCCGGTATCCGCCGACATCTCAATGAGGAACAGGTTTATCTACATCGAGATTCCCTGGTGCTTCGTTCGTCCTTGGTCCTTGGTCCTACCGGCGTCCCTACTTCGAGGAGACGTTCGGTATCCGCAGACATCACAAGGAGGAACAGGTTTATCTGCATCGAGATTCCCTGGTGCTTCGTTCGTCCTTGGTCCCTGGTCCCACCGGCGTTCCTACTTCGAGGAGACGTTCGGTGTCCGTCGACATCGCAAGGAGGAACAGGTTTATCTACATCGAGATTCCCTGGTGCTTCGTTCGTCCTTGGTCCTTGGTCCTACCGGCGTCCCTACTTCGAGGAGACGTTCGGTATCCGCAGACATCACAAGGAGGAACAGGTTTATCTGCATCGAGATTCCCTGGTGCTTCGTTCGTCCTTGGTCCCTG